TTGTGATGCTGTAATTCTGAGTGTTTTATGTGCTGCAGAACAGGAACCTGCTGTAAAACAGCAATTATGCTGAGTCAGGCTTGATTTTTAGTAATCTTTTCCTGTTAAATCAATAAATCAAATCAATAAAATTACTATTCATCATTTTGAATATATGTGCTTTCAGGTCGTTTCAAACGAGTTACCCTTCTTCAAACAACACCCTAAATCAGAGGTGCCAAAAGTGGGGCCCGCGGGCCAAAATTGGCCCGCCCGCCGAGACATTTGATTTGGCCCACCAGCAGTTGTCCTGGTTACTAGATTGTAATTATGTTAAGATTGAATATAAGATACAAGTAACTACAAGAGACATTTAGGTTAGATTTAAGCCCATATATAGATTTGCACACCTTTATAAGACCACATATACTCAAATTTTAAATTAGGAAATGTCCCATGAGCCCTTGCTGCCTTAGCATGTGTTGAATTTTCTCCATGTCCATGGGCTGAAAAAAAAAACTAAAGAATGTGGGCAACCACACTGGCTGCTAGCTTAATCATAAAAAATATAACAACTTTACTTAAGTATTTGCATTTCTTATATTATTGTATTTGGCCCGCGGCCCCCAGATTGATTTTAATTTTGGCCCTCTCAAGTAAAATATTTGGGCACCCCTGCCCTAAATAGTCTGTCCAACCAATCATGTATTTGCCAACCTCCCACACAGAAACTCCTACTTAGCTGAGACCCCCTTCTCCCTGTCCCTGGCACAAGTCTGTTTATAACTTTCTGCATGTCAATAAAAATCTCCTGAAACCTGATGGTAAAATTAGGTTTTCAGAGTAAGGACAGTATCATCTACATACAGTTGTATTCTCACAGCAGAACGGTCGTGAGTCTTGTATTTTGGTTAATGTTGAACTTMTCAGTCTCATATTTTGTTTGGTATTCTGGTTGTATTTTCTTACTTCCTGTTTAGTTTCCCCATGTTTCCTGTTTCTCGTGCCATTCCTGGGCTCATTCTCAGTCAGCCAGCCCACCTCACCTGTTCCCAGTCTCCAGTCAGGTCAGCTGTTTACAATGCTTTGTTACCTCAGCTTTACTGTATATAACCAGTCTCTTGCCAGCACCTCCTCAGCAGGTCATTGTGGTTTTCATGTGTCTCGGTCCCCTTTATGCTCCTGTGCTTAAGTTTTCTGTAAGTTTTGCTGCCGCGCCAGCTTTTAGCCTCTGTGTTCCCCATGTTGTCTGGATCACGGCCATGATAGAGTATGTTTAATCTACACTTAATATTAATTAAACATTCGATCTACCTGCTTTTACGCATAGATTCATTTCATCTTGTTCATGAGGTTCTGTTGGGAAAGTCTGAACTCCTCCATGTTTGGAGAACAAAGCGTTCTGCTGAATCTCATTGCAGATTTTGAATCAAGTGTTTTTTTTCCACGTCCTCTTGACCCTTGTAGAACTCCACACTGCAGAAACCTCCATTCTGAGTTGGTCTTAAGGAAATGTTGGAAAGGCAGCCTTGTTTTGTCGTTTTGATGATTTATTTGTACAGCACACAATCACAAATTTTGCTAATTTTAGYGGAAATAAATCTGGTCTAACAAGAATCGCTCGAGGTGATGAACCACCAGCAAAGACAGTGTTTGCCCTCTGATGATAGAAAACCGTGTGACTCTGCTGCTCGCTCGAYGGGCTCTATAAGCCGATCTCTGCTGTTAGTTTGCAGCTCAGCGGCTGCTTTCGGTGCCAGATTTATAACTGATGCACAGTTTAAACAGAGCAGCTTGTTTTTGGCAGGAAGCTACAAGGAGAATAAGTTTAGTTTTTTTTTTTCTCCAGACTGGAAGGAATGTGTACATACAGATGTATATTGTTCTGTGAATACTATGTGAATAATATATTCTATGTTTGCCCTGAGTAAAGATGTTCACTGCGTAACCACGAAGCTGAATGTGTTGTAACTGAACATTTTGTGAGTTTTTTTTTTCCTCTCTCCTACATCATTGTATAAACTGAGTCTCTGATTGTTTAGCTCAGCACTTGGAGCATGTATGAATTATTCCTTTTTTTAAATATTTATTTTAATTTTTTTGCATTTAGTTTTATTGATTTCAAAACATTCAGCTCTCAATGGGAATTCTTTCATTCGCCGTGTGAGTGCGTTGTACTTTCACCATTCCAAAGCTTTTTATTGTGACGGCTGCGACGGCCAGCGCAGGATCCCTGAGTTCACTCGTTTTCTTTCTGTATGACCTGAGAATAAATGACTACTGTGTTTTTGAACATTGTATTTGTGGCGAGGAGAGAGGGAGGGGTTGTTTAAAATGCGAGACGGAGGGGACAGATGTATATTGGGGTCAGGGTGGGTGGGGGGTGATTTTTGTGAGGGATAATGATTAACAATAAAAGAGGAGAAAGAGATGCTTTGTTGTCAACTTGTTTGATGTTGTGTTAAATTTGCACATAGCTGGGAAAAAGAAATCTGGTTTATAACCGGTTTGTCAGCAGAACCTGGACTTCYTGCCTAAAAAAACTGCGAACCCAGCTGCGGTTCCAGTCGTCTCGAACCACATTGACCATTTAATCTTACCCCTCTGTCTTAGTTTTCTTTTTTTTAAACATAACGCTTTCCCTCCCACCTTCAAACTCATCTTCCATTAATTTTATTTTTCCCATCTCATCTTTCTCCGTTCCTCTAGCTCTGCTGCTTTGTGGAGAAATGTGACTCCAGACCACAGACKTCCTCTGCCACCCACCGCTGCTCTGAATAATGCAGCAGTCCTGCAAACTGATCCAGTGTTTAGAGGGACAAGTCAGAGTAATTAGAGGGCAAGACCCCCCGACWGTTAGGTTTAAGACGAAGTGGGTCGTCTGAATTTGCGTCTAGATTGGCTGGGAATTGATTAGCCTTCAGAAACAAACTGTTTTGCAGGGGGTGGAGTGGGGGTCTTTAAAAGAGGAATGTTTTATCATGTCACTGAAAAAGATCAAGAATGCCTTT